TTAAAATCTATCTTTTCAGAGAGAGGAAAGGGGAGGGAGAGAGAGATAGAAACATCAATGATGAGAGAGTCATTGATCAAGCCCTCAACCCGGGCATGTGCCCCGACTGGGAATTGAACCCCGATCGCCTGGATCCCAGGTCGACACTCAACCACTGAGCCACGCCCGGCTGGGCCTTTCTTATTTCTTAATGTAGGCATATATCACTATTAACTGCTTTTCTGCATTCCATAAGTTTTGGTGTGTTGTACTTCCATTTTCATCTGTCCCAAGACATTTTTTTTTTTTTAATATATCTTTATTGATCTCAGAGAGAGGAAAGGAGGGGGGAGAGAGAGAGAGAGAGAGATATCAATGATGAGAGAGTCATTGATCCAGCCCGCAACTGGGGCATGTGCCCTGACTGGGAATCGAACCCCGATCGCCTGGATCCTAGGTCGATGCTCAACTGCTGAGCCACGCCCGGCCGGGCCCAAGATATTTTTTGATATGTTCTTTGACCCACTGGTTGTTTAGTACCATGTCTGTTAAATACACATGGACTAGTGTATCATTTGAGGCCGATGTTTCTATATTGATTTTTGTTTGGATGATCTATCCACGGATGAAAGTGGGGTATTAAAGTCCCCTACTATGACTATATTGCTATCTATATCTCCTTTTAAGTCTGTTAATATTTGCTTTATATATTTAGGTGCTCCTGTGTTGGGTGCATAAATGTTCTTCAGATATCCACTAACTTCAAGTCTTTCTTCAAAACTTCTTACTGAGGTCTACCTGATCACTCTCTTTAAGCAGCAAACTGCAGCTATTCTACTCATTCTCACACACTCGCCAAATCCCTTACCCTAGTTTTATTTATTTCTTTATTTTTAAATATATCTTTATTGATTTCAGAGAGAGAGAGGGGGAGAGAGAGAGAGAAAAACATCAGTGATGAGAGATTTGTCATTGATCGGCTGCCTCCCACATGCCCCCGACTGGGGATTGAGCCTGCAACTGGGGCATGTGCCCTGGCTGGGAATCAAACTACAATTTCCTGGATTCTAGGTTGATGTTTAACCACTGAGCAACTCCTAGGCAGGCCCCTAGTTTTCCCCCCGCCCCACAGCATTTACTTTCTAATATATAATATAATTTACTTATTTATTAAGTTTATTATTTGACTCCAAAGACATGACTCTTTGTTTTGTTCACTGATATATCCTAAGTGCCTAGCACATTATGGGTGCTAAGTAAATATTTGTTGAATAAATGAAGAAAAGGGTAGATTTAAGTTTGCTAGTCTTTCCTTAACATGATTAATCTAAAAAAGTTAATATTTATTGTTTAATTAATAAATCATTACATGTAAACAGTGAAGTTTCTGATAAAGAAATGTGAAATTCTGTAATTTGGACTCATTCATCTGGCACCGAATCCTCTTCCTTTAAATAGGGCCACTGAGTGTGGTTAACGAGGTTGTAAACTGAACAAAGATACCAAGGCAGGGAAACAATAGAGGCCAAAATTCATTAGGCTAAGACCACACAGAAATGGGGTGCTCTTTTCTAACATGCATAAAGGCAATGTCAGCATCCCCCGGTTTTAAATACCCACATTTTAAAAATTTAATGATGTCTTAAATAAAATCCTTCTAAAATGTATTAGATATTTCCTGAAAAAATAATTATATTTTATGACTCAAGGCTTTAATTATGTTCTTCCCTAATATGTCTAGGAATAGCAAGTCACAGTGGTAAGTGTCTAGATGTTGGAATAAACAGATCTGAGTTACAATTCTGGATTCTGATGCTATTAAATATGTGACCTTGGGTAGTTACCTAACTTCTCTATCCTCATTTTCCAACTCTGAAAATTGGAATAATAATAACAGCCCTCTGCACTAACTATACTTTCCTATTTTCTGTATTCTTGATTCTCTGGCATCTGGGGCCTTGCTACCTGGGAAGAGACTGCCCGTGGTAGGTTTATCCAATTCTTAAGAGATGGCAAGGAATGCATCTCTCATATACAAACTAACCAACTCAGAGACCAAATTCCAAACCACTCCCTCTGTCTCACTCTTACACTCCAGGAGGCAATATTCCTCTGCCCTAATCACTCCAGAGTTAAGTACCAGAAAACCAGGAATAGCCTGTTTGCCCAGAGACTACTGAATTATTCAAACTAGCTAATCCTAAATCTTCTTACCCTGCCTGGCCTTTCCTTTCCTGCAGAAACCACAATAAAGGCTCTGGGCTTGCCCTTTTTGCTTCCTAGATGACCACAGGGAGGTAATTATCTCATCTGTTTGCTTCACCATATCTGAGTAATAATAAAACCTATGTTTTAAAACACCTTCATATGGTTTTTAAGAAGAGTAAATACAAAAAATATAAAAGTGCTTTTTTTTTTAATCCTCACCTGAGGATATTTTTTTCCATTGCTTTTCAGAGAGAGTGGAAGGGAAGGAAGAGAGAGAGGGAGCAAGAGAGAGACAGAGACAGGGAGAACACTGATGTGAGAGAGCACATCGACTGGTTGCCACTCGCACACGCCCCAACTGGGGCCGGGGATTGAACCTGTAGCCCAGGTATGTGGCCATAACAGGTAATTGAACCTGAGACCCTAAGGTACAAAGGCTGATGCTCTTCTAACCACTGAGCAACACCAGCCAGGGCCAAATGTACTTTTTAACCACAATAACCAGCCCCCCTTCAAAATCAAAGGATTAAATGTGAAAACACAAACAATAAAAACTCCAGAAGAAAACACAGGTAAATATTTGTATAAATTTATAGCAAACAGACTAAAGCCAGGAATCATAAATAAAAAGTACTGCTTTTAAATTTTTTAAAAACCATAAAATCAGAAGTCATTAAAAAAAGTACTGCTTTAAAATATAAAGCTCTGACTTGATAAAAAAAAATAAAACAGGGTTATAAGATATAAATTGAAAATGTGGAAAAAACATTTGCAACTCATGACATAAAAAGGATTAATGTATACAGAGACATGAAAGAGATTAGTGATTATCTAGGCCTGGGAATATCACTTTCATTACTATAAAACTGCAGTAAATCTCATCAACTCAAATAAAAGCAATTACTTCCCTAAAATTGTTACAGCTGTTATTAGAGTATGGCTGAAAACAGTTTGGATCACTAAAAAGCAGCTCACTATATCCTGTTTAATATTCATTTACTTACAAATAAACATGCATATATAAAAATATTATTCCTGTTTGCCCCCTGATCCATTATAAATTCTAACTAGTAAAATTAAAATAAAGTATATCTACTTGTAATAAAGAATAAATTCTTTATGAATAAAGCACCTTAAAAAATATTAAATATGTGTTCTAAGACAGAAAAAGACTTACCGTCCAAAATTTTATAAAGTACTGTAAAACTGTTGTAGCCACGAACAGGCAATATAATAGGGAATACAATAAAAACAGCAGGAAGAATTTGTAATTAGAAAATCCCACACAGTTATTCACCCTAGAAGAATAAAGAAGGTCACACTGTAAAAATAAGACAAATCATAAACTCACAGAAACAAAAACTAGAATGTTTGCCAGGGGCTGAGGGAGGGGAAATGAGTTGTTTAATATATACAGTTTCAGTTTTCCAAGATGAAAAAGTTCTGAAGATTGGTTGCACGGTGTTATTAACATTACTAAACTGAACTTAGAAATGGTTAAGACAGTAAATTATGTCTTTTTTAACCATAATAATAAATAAGATATTCAAAAAAACTTAATCATTATTACTTGGAAATGGGTCATTTGGGAAGTAGGGAGCAATGTCTTAATTGTGAATGTGTGATTTAATTGTTGTATAAAGATTTGGAATTTTAATGTTAATTCTTAACATATAATTATTTAGATTACTAACATCAGAATATATTTTTAAAGGAAAGCATTTAATATAAACATGTATATATAGATCAATCTTGTGTATAAGTAATTAAATTGACCTTGAAAATTCTCTCTCCTTCCCACCTCTCCACCCCATATGTGACTTCCTCTATTTTTATACATACCAAGGACAGTGATGATCCATCTTAAGAACACATCTAAAAAACAAATAAGCATAATTCTAATTGCTGATAATTTTTTCCTTAAATTTATCCCTTTATAAATACATCTTATAAAAACCAATCCAGTAAACATAAGAGAAAATTTCTGATATTTCCATCCATACCTCCATAGGTAAGAGGTAATAATTTTTTGCCTTGGACCACATTAAGTGACATTTTAACATACAGATATGGTGCATAGAACACTTAGTACATTAGCTAGTCCAGCTCCAAATCAGCTAAGGGAAATGAAGTGAAATACAGACAATCCCTGTTTTAAACATGTTCAAGTCATAAAAATAAAACTTTAAAAGCAACTGTGTTAAAATATTAACACTGATGGGCTTATACATGTATATTTTCCCCCCACATATTTTATAAAATTCTATCCCATGGATAAGCACTACTGTACTTTTATAATCAGAAAAAAAAAATCCCAAAATTTGCCTCCCCACCAGTATATGTTATCTATATATTTATAAAGTCAGACCAAAGATCATCTCAATTAACAAAATAAATGAGTAAAGTAAAACTCAGAAGGTTAAATAGCTTGTCTAACTAAAGTTCAAGGATTAACTGGGATTCCCAAACTAGGGATCTTTCCTTCCACATATTACCTTCTCATAAGTACACAAGGAATAAAATCTTTTAAAAGTTTTTCTGGGAACAATGTTACAGATGGAAAAAATATTTTTTATGTGTGGTTTGTTAGGTTTTAATAAGGACATTTATAATAATAAAAAAAAGAAAATTGTCATTTTAATCCAGGAAATAAAGTTATTCTTAAGGGAGTTATTGCTTACTTGTTCATCAATATTATATTAAGCATAAACATAGAAAATATATTTAAAGAAAACTGCATTAGACCTGGCCGGGTGGCTCAGTTGGTTGAAATGTCATCCTACACACCAAAAGTTTGTGGGTTCAATTCCCAGTCAGGGCACATACCTAGGTTGTGGGTTTGACCCCCAGTCAGGGTGCGTACAGGAGGCAACCAATTGATGTTTCTACCTCAGATCGATGTTTCTCTCTCTCTCCCTTCCTCTCTATAAAAACATATATCCTTGGTTGAGGGTCAAAAAAGAAAAGAAAATGCCATCAAGCAGTATAGGAACTGTTATTAAAGATTACTCCAAAGTATATTCTAGCTTATGGAAATATTGTTAGCCACCATGTGTAGCAAATAATGGGAGAGGATGAAGTGTTTTTGCTAAGTATGAAGCATATAAAATGTTCCTTCCCCTTCTGTTCTATCACCGATTTCCAATGCTGGGGTTAAAGGAAAGTAAATGAGGGTAACACTTACATGTCACATGCTGAGCAGTGATGTGCACGGTCAGGTTTAATCAACTGACATCTTTCACAATATCTGATGGCTTGAAAGATGTACAAGTTTAGTTAAATTGACTATAAAATTTGCTTTCATTTCTTGTATAAATAACTCAGGAAATTGACAACTAATTACTCTTTCATCAGGTTTGATACTAGTTCTCCCACGGACTAGCTGGTGACCTTGGGCAGTAACTTACATTCTAAGAGCCTCAGTTTCCTCTTCTGTAAATGTAAATAATACCAAGTGTAATGAACTATTTTGCAGATTAAAATGAAACCTTCTAGAACATATCAGATTCTCAATAAAGCAGTTATCACTATAATAAAAATATTATTCTTAATAAAATATAAAGTCAGACTCTGATGAGAAAAATAAGTGAGGGAGAGAAAACCAGGGAGATTAAAAAGTGTACAAAAACAACAAACAAACAAACAAATAATAAAAAAATAGAAGTGTACGAACAGTCATGACGGAGAACACCCAGGAATAGATTCACTCCACAGACATCTCCTGATGCATGTTTAGTGAAACACTATGTTAGAGACCAGGGAAGAACTCTCGGCTGCCAGACGCTTAGATAAAGTCACTGAGATGAGAGGGGAACTGATAACTAAAAGGGTGTGATTTGTCATCTACAAGATAAAAATTTAAGATGTTCTAAGGAGACTCTAAATCACTTCTTGTTAAAGTGAAGTTAGAGAGGTGGACAGTGATTAAAACTTTAAACTGGATTTAGAGGGTAGAAAATAATCATTCCAGGCAGAGAAAAGGCAAAAAAAAAAGGTGGGCAAGGATAATCTGTTAGCAGAGTGAACACAGGGAAACAGTGTGGGACAAAGCTAGAGATAACTGCGAGCTAGATTGAGACTGGAGGCAAGAAGATTTAGAAAGACACATTTTGTTTCCTGAATAGATAATAATATGTCCATAGGGCTAGAAAAAGCACAAAGAAGAATTCAATGAGAAGGACCCACTCTGGTGCCTGGCCCCCAACTGCCCTCTGTGAAGGCAGCTCCATTACGTTCAATGATCTCTGGTCTATGGAAGGTCGAATTTCTGTAACACACATTCTGTAACTTCGTGCTTTGAAGATGAATGGGTATTGCTTCTATAGTAAGAAAAAGAAAAAGCCCCAGCATTTGGGAAAGCAGTAGAAATACAGTATAAAATGGTTCCCCAGAGCAGGACCTGCCAGCAGTAAGAAGATAAGTCTCAGACCTGGCCACTCGAGACACTGGGTACCTCTCACTGCGCCTCACATCTTCATCTCTAAAATGGAGACAAGTGCAGCACCCATCTCAGAGTTGTTCTGAAGATTAAACAATCACCAATAAAGTGCTTGGCCTGATCCTGGTGTAGTATTCAACAGATGAATGGTATTGTTAAGATTAGAGGATAGTCGTTATAAATAATGAAAAGCAGTAAAGCTTCTTTAAGAGTAAAGACTTTAGCCCTGGCGGGTGTGGCTCAGTTGGTTGGGTGCTGTCCAGTGAACCAAAAGGTTGCTAGTTCAATTCTTGGTCAGGGCACATGCCTGGGTTTTGGGCTCAACCCCGGGTAGGGGCGATGTTCCACTCTCACATCCATGTTTCTCTTTCTCTCTCCTTCTCCCTTCCTCTCTCTCTAAAAATCAATAAAAATTTTTTTTAAAAAATATATCTTTATTGATTTCAGAGAGAGGAAAGGAGAGGGAGAGACAGAGATAGAAACATCAATGATGAGAGAGTCATTGATCGAGCCCACAACCCGGGCATGTGCCCTGACCAGGAAACGAACCCCGATCGCCTGGATCCTAGGTTGATGCTCAACCATTAAGCCACGCCCGGCTGGGCAATAAAAAATTTTTTAAAAAGAGAGTAAAGATTTTATATCATGGCTCTTAACTCTTTGGGGCACATGTACTGCTCTGAAAATCAGATAATCTTGCTATGAATAGGCTACCTGAAATTTTGTGTATAACCTCAGGGCTTCATAAATTCTGTGAAATCTTGGACTTTGGGTTAAAAAGATCTAATCTGCAGAACTATAACTACTAAGAATTATTGTTAACCAGACCTCTCATAATTAAATATAAGAAAGGATTGTCTTGGCCATTGTGGCTAAGTTGGTTAGGCAATGTTCATCTGCCATAAGGTTGCTGATTCAATCCCCGGTCAGGGCACATACCCGGGTTGGGGGGCTCGATCCCCAGTAGGGGATGTGCAGGAGCCAGCCGATTGATGCTTCACTCTCACATCAGTGTTTCTCTCTCTCCCTCTCCCTTCCTCTCTCTCTAAAAATCAATAAAAATGTATATATTTTAAAAAGGATTACTTTAAATTAGCTATCATATACTGAAAATTCATTATGTACAAAGTTCTATACTAAGTGTGAATCTACTAATCCAGAAATGTAGATATTATTATCCTCATTTTAAAATAAGGAAACTGGGGCTTAGAAAGTTTAAGCGATTCTCATTGTACTAGTAATAGAAAAGGTGGGGTTTGATCTGAAATTCATGTTTTTATTCCATACGGTAATATACTAGGTTATGTTAGAAGAACAGTCTTAAATGCACCAAACAATTAAACCCTTGGTCAAATATCACCTCCAAAAATCTTGTACAGACTTTATCCTTTCTTAACTCATAACCTGTATATAACTATACAAAGGAAAAGTCCTTTTATTTCCCCTTGGAGTTGAGAAGTATGGTGGGTTCTGAAGCCAGAGTACTTTGATTTAAACTGTTTTTTTTTTTACATATATCTGTCTGACTTTGAAAAAGATACTTATGCCCTCTGTGTCTCAGTTTCCTAACCTGTAAAGTGGAGACAACAGTATCACCCTCAAAGGATTGTTGTGAAGTTTAAATAAGTTCATAGACGCAAAGCACTTAGAACAGAATAATTGTTAGCTATTACTATTATCTAGTACTTAAATGAATTCAGGAGTTATATAATACATAATTTTAAACAATTTCCTGTATTTAAATGACCAGTTTGGCTACTCATAGTTTCACCCCTATTACTACTGCAGCCTCAATGGAGGCAGTGGGACAGTGGAAATACCAACAGCTTTGGGGCCACACAAACCTGAGATCAGATTCTGACTCTCTGAATATTACCTTTATAACCCTGAACAAGTTTTTCCCCCCTGTGCCTTTTAACTTCTCTCCATTCCAATTTAGCACATGATTGATTTTTTTTTAATTACTCAGTGATGACAACAATATTAAAATTCAAACCAGAATTTCCAAATGACAGTATACTAAGAATAATAACTAGAACTTTTCTCCATAAAGGTAAAGTTAGAAATAAAAGAATATGCAGAGAAAAGAGACTCATATTAAAGTGAGCCTCTTAAAAAAATCTTTATCAGTATATTTACATATCTGTATCTGAAATACCACAGAAGATACAGAACACAGGAAAATCTTGTTCCTACCCATGTTATTTGTGGAATCACAATATCCATTTTATTAGTCAAATCATGCAAATATAACTTGGCAGGAATGACCATATTTTAAAAATCATTTGAGTAGAAAAGCTTAAAATTTGTTTTTCTTACTCCTTGAGCCTGATGTGGTGTAGATAGGTAAGTCCCTTGCTGTTCTTCTCAAAATTTCTTGTTGTCGTTCTTGGCTGAATTCTTTTTCATAATGTTCCCTTTCAGAACTGGACAAGTAGAACTATAAAAGTAGAAATGACTATTAATTATTTTTAACCCCCAAATTATTAACTATCACATGCAAAAAAAAAAAATTTTATCTAGAAGAGAAAAACACACAAAACTTTTCTTCTACAAAGGAAAAATTTGTCTTCAAATTTCTTTAAGAAGCTAAATCAAGTACATTTTAACAAAACTACATATTTTTGATAGATTAAAAAATATTTGCTCGGGTAAGTGTGGGGTAGAAAGGGTCAATGGGGAAAAAAGGGGACAGCTGTAATTCTTTCAACAATAAAGATAAATTTTTTTTTTAATTTGCTCTACTTAATTATGGCAAAGAACATAAACTAAATATTTTTGCATCTTTGTTTTTTTACAGAGAAAATTTAACTCCTCCATCAAAAAGGTAAGGAAACAGATACTAGTAAAAATTCTGGTGTTTGAATGTTAGTGTCAAAGAGATTTTTAATTTTTGGAAAAATGTCTGAAGATTCACTTCCTTTGGGGTAAAAGGCTACATCACAAACTGTGGGGTCCTACTATCTTCTGGCCAAATGTCTCAATGAGGTCAACGAGTCATTATATTACGACTTTGTTTTAGTGTTTAAAAAGCTAACCAATGAGTATTTTCTCCAGAATACTAAGGATTGTCAAGCTAAGCATAGTCTCTTTTTCTCAAACAAAGACTCCTTTATGGAGTTGTTTCTAGTTTTCATTTCCTGTTTTTATTCCCATGGTGTAATCTGCCTGTAGTTCATCTCTTAAATAGCATTTTTCCCTACACAGGACTTTAGTTGCTCTTCCTTTGATGCCATCCCAGCACCTCAAGGAAACCGTTTTACACTTCTATTCCATGTAACCAGGAGCTTTATGTTTCTATCAGTCTTTACTTCACAGAGGTTTTTAAAAACTCAAAATGACCTGAGACCTGCTCTTAATTGTGTTTTATATTTTAACAATACTGTTAATTGATTTTTATTTACTTACATGATTTTGCTCAAAATGGCCTAAGGAACTGTGACTGAAATTTTATCCTTTTATATTTACATATTTTGGTCTGCCTGTTAACTCAAATACCCAAACTCCCTATACTCTTGATGCCTCATTATCAATAACAGTATTAGCTTATCAACGTAACCTATTCTGTTATAAACAAGGCAATAGTTTGGCATAGAAGAGCGAGCTGTGGTTGAGGAAACGGATCCTAAGAGGCTCAGGGAACTGTCTGAGACTATACAATTATTGGCAGAGCTGATATTAAATATAAATCTTTTGAGCTCTACTCTAGTATGTTTCCCTCCATATTGCTGATGTAAAATACATGTTCTTGCTTTTTATAGACTGTTACTCTAACCTGACCAAAACACCACAGTGTAGGAAGTGGAAGAGTCTATTTAGATTACCTGGCCTGGCTCCCACAATACAATCTGGATGGCACAAGAAATCCAAATTACTTATAAAAAACAAGAAGAAACACGGACAAATAAACAAGACAGAAAGATGTCAGGAAAGATTCCTATGATCTTACATTTGAGACTTAAGGTCATTTATCTAACTTTAGGCAGGGAGGAATCGTCAGACCACATTTCCAAGATCCACCCCCCGTTCTTGAAATGTTCAGATACAGAAGTATTTACCTACTTTGTAAGATGGCCCGTTCTTTAAAAAAAGAATGTAACTTGTTAGAAAGTTCTTCCCTGAAAGGCCATGTCTCTGAAACATTCAAAAGCAAGAGAATAAAAATCATATGGTATGACTGAGGCAGCAGAGGGACCTAGGCCTGGGCCCCAAGGACACCAGATGGACAGAAGGAAATCAAGGCGGCAAAAATTTCACCACCTCTCCACTCCCTACTAAACGCAGAGCTAGCTAATTTTATATCCCTTCTAACTGCACATGTTTAAACTACTGACCCGTATACACAGTTGATCAAGGTATGACTACCTTCCTAGGATGGCAGTAATGAATAGTTTGACATCTTGGCTCTCACAGCCCAGGGACAAAGATAGTTGTTAAGCAATTCGACAGGAGGAAGTAGACAGAGCCTGAAATGGGAAATTCCACAAGCCCACCTTTTTCAAAAAAGCCTGTCTTTTCCCACAAACCCACTCTGGCCCCAGCTTATAAAAGTAGCCAAGCAGAGCCAATCGTAGGATCTTCCTTTCCTCTGTGCCGCCTCCTTTGTGCTGAAGCATAAGCTTAATAAAACCTATCAGAGGGGCTTCTGGTCAAGATGGCGGCGCAGGTAAAGGCCGTACTCACCGCCTCCCACAACCACATCAAAATTACAACTAAAATACAGAACCATCGCTCAGAACCATCTGAAATCTAGCTGAACAGAAATCCTACAACTAAGGTATGATGAAGAAGCCACTACAAAACTGGTAAAAAGGTGAAGACAGTACAGAGTTCCAGTGCCAGGAAGAGCAGGCCCCATAGCTTAGGCTGTGAAAACCAGTGGGGACGGTGGCTGTGAGTCAGAGAGCTCTTGGTGTCCAACCAGATGTTCCTCTTAAAGAGTCCACGCACAACTTGCTGACGAACTCTCTCTGAGCTCCAAAGCTGAGGCAGCAGCTCAAAGGTGCCATAAGGGGACATACAGGGAGGGACTAAATTGTCTGGCTTCAGGTGAGGGCTAGAGGGGCAGCTTTCTCCCAGACAGAAGTGCTTGCAGAGGCCATTTTTCCTTGGCTGAGCCCTCACTACACAGAACAAGCAGGCGGGCGCCAAAGCTGAGTCTCCATCAACCAGGCTAACAGTGTTGGCCTTTCCCTGCTGATTGCCTGAGGCCCCACCCTACCTAATTGTGAGCCCACCCAAGCCATTTCCAGAGGCTTTTCTACATACAAACAGCTTATCTCGGGTCATGCTTCAGACTTTCCTAACAAGTCTCTCAAACAAGCAGCATCTAGCCTCTGCATATCCCATACCACTTGCTGTGGCCCCAGGACTGGCACTAGCAGCAGCTGACCTCTCTCAGCTTAGATACTCCTGGGCACCTCAATCCCAGCACAAGTAGCAGCCATCTTCAGACACGTTTGTAGGTCATATCTGGTGGTGTTGTGCAGGACACAGACAGCTGAACTTGGCCTGTACTTCCCAAGATGTCCCAGAGCCAGTGGACCCACTGGACAGCTTCAGACCACGCTGAAGCACCATGCAACAACCTCCACAAGAGACACGTGCAAGGAGCAGACTCAGTGGGCATCAAAGCCCCCCTGGTGTGAGTGACGCACTGTGGGGTGGACTGCTGCATAGCAGGTCCTCCACAATGGTCACACCCAGTGGTGGAAGCCAGTCAGCCTAGGGATAAATCCCCCTTACTGATGTGCCAACAGCAATCAAGGCTCAACTACAAGAGGAGGGTACACAGCCCACATGGGGGGTGTACCTCCAGGGCCCAGCTTAGGTGATCAGGGAGGCTGTGCTATTGGGCTCTATAGAACACCTACAATACTAGTCCACTCTACCAAGTCTGGGAGACATAACAGTTCTACCTAGTACATAAAAACAAATCTGTGGAGGCTAGCAAAATGAGGAGACAAAGAAATATGTCCCAAACAAAAGAAGAGAACTCCAGAAAAAGAAGTAAACAAGTGCTGGTCAGTTTGGCTCAGTGGTTAGACCGTCGTCCTGTGGACTGAAGGGTCTCAGGTATAATTCTAGTCAAGGGCACGCACCTCAGGTAGATTTGATCCCCGGCCCCAGTAGGGTGTGTGTGGGAGGTAACCCATTGAGGTGTCTCCCTCACGCTGATGTTTCTCTGTCTCTCCCACTCCCTTGCACTCTCTTTAAAAATATCAATGGGAAAAATATCCTCAAGTGAGAATTAACGAAACAAACAAACAAACAACAAAAACTAAACAAAATAAAGACAAGTAATCGATTAAATGCAGAATTCAAAACGCTAGTTATAAGGATGTTCAATTAACTTAGTGAGAAGTTCCAACAACATAAAAAAGGATCAGTCAGAAATGAAAGACACACTACCCTGACCAGTGTTGCTCAGTGGTTAGAGTGTCAGCCCACACACTGAAGGGTCATGGGTTTGATTCCCGGTCAAGGGCATATACCTGGGTTGCAGGTTTGATGTTTCTCTCTGTCTCTGTCTCCCCCCACCCACTTCCACTCTCTCTAATAACCAACAGAAAAATATTCTTGGGTGAGGATTAACACCAACAAAAAAGTACATAATAACTGAAAAGAAGAATAATTGAAAGGGAATCAATTGTAGAGCAGACGAATCCAAGAATCAAATCACTGATTTGGAAAATAAGGAAGCAAAAAACACCCAATCAGAATGGCAAAAAGAAAAAAGAATTAAAAAAGAAAAAGAAAAAGAGAATAGTGTGTAAGGAACCTCTGGGACAACTTCAAATGTATCAACATTTGCATCATGAGGGTACCAGAAGAAGAGAGAAGGCAAGAAATTGAAAATCTGTTTGAAAAAATGGCAGAAAACTTCCCTAACCTGGTGAGAGTCCCAAACAAGATGAACCCAAAGAGGCCCACACCAAGATACATCATAATTAAAATGCCAAAGGTTAAAGACAAAGAGAGAATCTTAAAAGCAGCAAAAGACAGATAGTTACCTACAAGGGAGCGTCCATAAGATTGTCAGCTGATGTCTCAACAGAAACTTTGCAGGCCAGAAGGAAGTGGCAAAAAATATTCAAAGTGAAGAAAAGCAAGAACCTACAACCAAGATTACTCTACCCAGCAAGACTATCATTTAGAACTGAAGGACAGATAAAAAGAGCTTCTGGGACAAGAAAAAGCTAAAGGATTTCATCACCATCAGTATTATAAGAAATGTTAAAGAGTCTTCTTTAAGGAGAAGGAAGATCAAAAATAGGAATAATGAAATGATAATAAATCATATCTATCAACAATTACTTTAAATGGAAATGGATTAAATGTTCCAATCAAATGACATATGGTGGCTGAATGGATAATAAAACAAAACCCTTATATATGTTGTCTATAAGAGACCCATTTCAAATTGAAAGACACACACAGACTGAAAGGTATGGAAAAACATATTTTGACACACACAGACTGAAAGTAAAGAAAAAAGATATTTCATGAAAATGGGAAGGAAAAAAAAAAGGTGGGGTAGCAATATTTACACTAAACAAAACAGACTTTATTTTTATTTTTTAAAATTTATTTTTAACCATCACTGAAGATAGGTTTTTATTGATTTTTTTAAAAACAGGTTTTTATTGATTTCAAAGAGAGGAGGGGAGCGGGAGAGAGCGAAACATCAGTGATGAGAGAAAGTCATTGATCGGCTGCCTCCTGCATGCCCCCTACTGGGGATTGAGCTCGAAACCTGGACATGTGCCCTGACCAGGAATTGAAAAGTGACCTTCTGGTTCAAGGGTCAATGTTCAACCACTGAGTCACATCAGACAGGCTATTGATTAGTTTTTTTAAAGAGAGAGGAAGGGGGAGAGAGAGAGAAATTGATGTGAGAGAGCAACATCGATCAGTTGCCTCCCATACACTCCCTGACTGGGGATTAAACTTGCAACCTTTTGGTGTATGGGACAATGCTCCAACTAAGCCCCCCGGCCATGGTGACAAAACAGATTTTAAAACAAAGACTATAAAACAAAGACTATAACCAGAGACAAGAAAGGACCCAGCAATTCCACTTCTGGGTATTTATCCAAAAACTAAATTAAAAATATATATACAGACCAGCCATTGTGGCTCAGTTGGGTGAGCATCTTCCTGTGCACCGAGGGGTTGCTGGTTGATTCCCAGTTAGGGAACATACCTGCATTGTGGGTTCGATCCCCAGTTGGGGCACATGGGGAACATAACTGATTGATGTTTCTCTCCTACATCAATGTCTGTCTGTTTCTGTCTCTGTCATTGTCTCTCTCTCTCTCAGCTCTCCTGTCCTCTCTCTAAGCATATCCTCAGGTGAGGATTAAAAAAATGCCCAACATACTATATGTTCATATGTTCATTGCATCATTATTTACAATAATCAAGATACAGAAGCAACCTAAGTGTCAATCAATAGATAAAAGGATAAAGAAGAAGTGATGCAATAAAATATGACTCAGCCATAATAAAGAATGAAATCCTGCCATCTGCAACAACATGGATGGACCTAGAGGAAATTGTGCTGAGTGAAATAAGTCAGACAGAGAAAGACAAATGCCATATGCTTTCACTTATATGTGGAATCTAAAAAACAAATTAAATGAACAAGCAGAACAGAAACAAAGTCACACATACGGAGAATATTTTGATAGTTGTCAGTTGGGAAGCAGGTTGGGGGAATGGGTGTAAAGGGATTAAGAAGTACAAATTGGTAGTTTCAAAATAGTCACAGGGATGTAAAATACAGCATAGGGAATATAGTCAATAATATTGTAATAACTATGTATGGTGCCAGGTAGGTTTATCGAGGTGATCTCTTCATAAGTTATATAAATATTTTTCACTGGGCTGTATACCTTAAACTAATATGATAGTGTATGTCAACTGTAATCTAAAAATAAAAAATTACTTTTAAAAAAGTCTGTCGGGAAATTTCTCTGGGGTTTCCTCTTGATTTCTATCTTGGGGAACCCAAGCACCCCAATGCCAGTAGCATGATGTTAAATACATATCTGGACAAGAGATATTCCAACCAAATTTTAGTTTCCTTGTAAAATCTGAACAAATTTCCCTAGGCTATCCTATTTGTAGCCTACTATAGTATTTCAGGCCTCAAC